ATTAATTATGGCAATAATTACTTATTCACAAATAATAGAATTATTGCAAAAAAAACTCAATTGGTGAACATTATATACTCAGTGACATTAGAAGTGTTAAACTCAGGAAAAATAATTTCTTTTTGGCAATGCGGTAGACAAGTAATATTAAAAAAATAATATGCTGGCGACCCGGCAGCTGCATACACTCCTGTATACGTCTATGTATCGACGAAACCTCATTCTCCTCACCCACCTCATTCCAAGCAACTCGAACTTCCTGGATTAGCTGTGGCGGCCTATCTTGATGCCCTGTGGCACGCCTCGGTGGACCAGTTGCCATTCTTCGTGTTCCTGTATCTCCTTCTACCCGCACACGACACACACGCATTACCGTCATTGCAGTACAATCAACACGGCGGCCAATTTCGTGATAGGACAAACTCCTGTCAAAGTCGCTAACACGCTGATAACTTGGACGTCTTCGAACTCGAGGCATTTTGTTATGCTTAACACTAGTAAATGAAAAGGCAATAACTGAAAATATCTGTACTACTCAGCTCTCAGAAGCTGCCTTCTTCACAAATACTAAAAGATAACATTTTAACAAAGGTAAACAAAAACAAAGATTAATGTCAATGAGTATAATAGACTATACAAGGGTGAAAAGGAAGTGCTTGTATCAGAGAATGCTTTTTTAATTTGATTTGATTGACTGCTTTTTCGCAGGAAATGTATATAATATGGAATGTTTAACAATATAAAGAAATACGTATTTTTATTAAATAACGTCGTCTATTATATATTTTGTAATTGTAATAGAAGTGCTTTGGCATCAAAGCTTAAAGATGGCAGTAAATGATCTTTACTGCCTTTTACCTGAGTACTGCAGTATATCTGGAATCAGAAACAGAAACATTTTCACTAGAAACCTAGAAGGTTTTTCATTTGAAAGCTGTAGCTTCCTTCTGTAGCACTTTTGTGGAAAAAAAATTGCTCTTGATACTAGAGCCGACAATTTTAGTATAACACATTTTTCTCCAAGTGCTCATACAAACAAGTTAGATAGGCCAGTTAATAGCGGGGCAACCTGTAAACTGTGATGTTTTGATGTAATATTAGTGACAGCATACTGTATTTCTGTTTCTATTGGAGTTGATCTGATTATTTCTGAAGCTAATGATCTATGTAATACGTTGAAAAGTGCATGATACACGATTGGTATAAAGATAACTGGTTGCGTTAACAATACCTCCTTCAGAATACCCAATCAACGTACCGGTAGCTGTATATTTTATTGATCAGGATATACCCAAGCTCCATAGTATCGCACATACAATAGTGAAAAATTTTTTTTTCGGTACTGTTAGATAACTCTGTTACTCGTTACAAGTATCTTTGGATAAACTAGTACATGTTCTAAATACGACTAGAGTTCTAATTTGGCGAGATACACACACCGTTGTTTCATAAGTAAAGTGATAATGAGTATTGCTCACACACAGATATTACTGATAGTGCAAGAACGTATCGGAATGTACATACATTTTAAATGAGAAAAAGAAAAAAATTATTATGTTATATAACGCTAATAATATTTGATTGGTATTATCGTATGATACTTTAGTTAATCAAAAATGTATTAGAATCTCTCAAAAACCACTCAGGTCCATTTTCTTACCGACATACTTTCTAATTGAAGACGTACATTGCAAGCAAATGCGTATTTTGGGTATATACCTGATACACGTTCAGTGCAAAAGCAAAGTCTGATTCTTATGTAGTTTTTGTACTCACTAGTCCACGGTGCGTACTTGAATGGGTCATTTCAAAAACTGTACCAGAATCCTTGTTTTGTGTTATGTTCATATTTATGTGATATGTGCACCAAAATAAAAATATCACTTTACTAACTACGAAAATAAAATTACAAACATCCTCTTTGCCCGAAATCTCTTGTTTCATAATTTTCTCGCTTTGTACCAAAACAATTGACTCAATCCTCCTCAGTTGAAGATTATTTGAATATACGGTAAATATTAGTTAAAGATGAAATAACATGCACACCTATTTCGCAATGTTAACGTCTACGTATTTTTTCAGGATGGTCGATTCATGACTTGTATGTAAGACGGGAAAATCGAACTTCCCAGGTGATCATTTTATTTTGGCTTCCCCTATGTAAAAATATTATAACTTCGAAAATTAAAACATGAGGCATGTTAATAGGTCCCTCGCAGCGAGGCATCCGGTATCGTTAATATGGGTACCGGGGCACGCTGGGATAAGGGGCAATGAGACGGCGGACACTCTGGCGAAAACAGGATCAGCCAGCAAGCTCGTTGGTCCTGAGCCAGCTCTAGGAGTAACCGCGCATAAAGCTAGGAGGAAAATGGAGACGTGGGTTGCAAGACAACACTCTCAGAAATGGAGAAGTATCTCTAGACATCTCCGCCAGGCACGAGAGCTCATTGAAGGGCCCAGTGCTAAGGATGGACGCTTCTGCCTATCTCTGGGTAGAGCCAACCTAAGGTTGCTGGTGGGACTGTTGTCTGGCCATAACACGTTAAGGCGGCACCTGCACGTGATGGGGGTGGCTGAGGATCCCTTATGCGAACGCTGCGGAGTAGAGGAAGAGACCTCGGCGCACGTTTTGTGTCGCTGTGAAGCTCTTAGCTACTATAGGCAGACTATACTGGGGTCCATTACTTTGGACCCTCAGGACGTAAAGGAGCTTGGACTCAAGGCGATTCTCAACTTCGCTAAAAGGGCGAGGCTTGTGATTTAAGTATTGTAGAGGTGCATAAGGGCCCGCTTAAGCGGCCTATGCACTGGCTCCTTATGGTGGCCGGGATGCCTCTAAAATTCAAGATTCATTCATTCATTCATGTTAATAGGTCAATATTTAAGTGCAATTTACCATGATAAGTAATAACAATATTTCAATAATAAGCAATAGTGTATATATGATTTTTTTGTTTGAGCTATATGCCACTCACCCTTTTTCCTACTAAACCAACGCAAGTCCTTAACAGTTTTAATGTTTAAAGTTATCAATAAACTGTGAAGGTTATTGAAAACTTCAATCTTACTGAACGCACATAAAGCATTAAGCCTGGGTAATCAGTGACATTGTTTTTGTCTCCCGAAGAATTCAAATTAAGGTACTGAGGAGGATTTTGCAGTGACCGATTGATTTATATTTTACATATCAAGGCAAGTCTAGCGTCTCTCGACAACTTTTCCAAGAGCGTGGGCTCACTTTGTGGAATAATATACAGGGATACTGTCAAGGCGCTTCTGTTTATATCCATACTTATACCTGTAATAATAACATTGGCTGGTGGTAGAACTGTTGTCTGCTCACAAAACTCTTTGAACCTACCTCCAAGTGATTGGGATGGCTGGAGGCCCAACCTATTCTATAATGTAGGAGAGCTCAGAGATTCTACAAGCAATTAGTGGTAAATCTAGTATGACGCACACGTCGTACTGTGCAACGGGCCCAAGGAGGCGGATCCAGGGGTTCCATGACAGAGAAAGTTTGTGCTTTGGCAATCATGGTCCTTCTTTCTCTCGGTCATATCAGCAAAAAACTGGTTTTGGCCGAGATTGAAGAATACGAAACCTTTCCCCAATATTAATCTATGAGCTTTAAACTTTCAATTCAATTTAATGCTGTTAAACTTTGGTTCTTAGCCGAGTGACCTAGGTAACACCGTTTGGTCAAAATTAAAAAAGCGCTAATTTCTTAATTTTGTCGTCTAGCTTTGTTTTGAAGTTCATTGCAGCAAAATCGTCTTTTTCGTATTATCTAGCTACAAATGAACGAAACCGGTAGACTGAGGTAATTGGGGAAGCTGATCTCAAACAGGAACATCGACTATTTGTAATGTATCGTGAACATATATTTAGAGGGGAATCCTAACGAAAAACTGACATCATAACTTCGATCTACGACGACTATTCCTTTAGTTGTATTTTCGGCTGTTAGGGGGCTCCTTACAAAGCAAAGCTTCTGCTTCTGATCTCGGAGGTCTTAGATACGCCACTAAAAGGCAATCGAAACAGGGCTCCAATACTTTGTTTCTCCAAACTGTTTCTCAAGGACGACCTTAATTTAAGTAGGAGTACTTGTGTCGCAGTCTTAGGAGTATAAGGGTTACCGTTATCCATAATTTTCTAATTCCACAACTTATAATTTGAAGTGCAGTGACTAGTCTATCTCGAGCCCTGAATTAAAGTTATGCTCAACTACCTATACATCTAACCCTGTTTTTATTTCCTACACCACTGGCGAGGAAGTATTGTGATCCCAATAGTGATATTACGTTTTTTAGCTCCTGATCAGTTTCAGAAACATTTTTGTGAGGGCTAAGAATTGGGGGTTGTAAGACGTGAGGGAGAGACACTCTCCCAGCCCCATTATTTATACGCATCCATTACATATTTACCCATACATTTTCATTTGCTTTAGAGAGCTGGAGACATGTTTTCACCGGTCTGATTGATTGTTCTGCCAGTACTGCGGCAATGCCAGATTGACGGTACTGCCGGTAAGACAAGAACAGTCTATGGAATAATTGTACGGGCCTGTTTGACTGACCTGATCCGGTTGATTTCCTTGCTTGGTTCGTCATTAACGTTTTTCTCAGATGGTTTAACTTAATCCTTTATGAATTGATGACAGCCAACTTGACGCCATATTTTGGAATGGGGGTTATATTGAATTAGAGCTTGCTTACTACAAAGTGGCGGACACTTTCTCAAAAACCTGTTAGTCTTTATACTGATTAGTTTGGTGTATGCAATAAGCTATTGTTCTAAAATATGTTCTTTCTACATGAGCGTTTGCCAAGCCCACATAGCATTTTTCAAAACGGTAAAAATGCCCTAATATCGGAATCAGACCATTACCCGCGTCTCAGCGTGTCCTCAAGCTGGACCAATCAGTGAAAGTGTAAACCACACGAGCCGTTGCCTTGCCGGTAAATCTCACGTTTCAAAATCGGCTTCGCGAGCACTTCCTAACCTAAAAAAGAGGGGACACGCCTCGTATAAAAGCAAAACTCTGGATTGCATTTCTGCATATTCGCCTACATCTACAATGAGGGCATTTGAAGTAAGGGCTTTATTTCACTTATTCTTTTAATTCAAACAGCTAGTGCGAGTAGTACGTATGTGTCAGTGGCAGTGGCTCTCAAGATGTGCTGTGTTATCGGTTTAAAATAAAATTAGTTACTATTATGTAATATTCACGTTGTTAGTATTATCAGAATCTTCTGTAGATTTGTAATCTACCAGTGTATGCGAAGAGAAAAGTGTCTGTAGATACGTGATATTTTTTTCACACACCCTGTATATGTCCATTGCAGACGGCTGGGTGGTATAGAAGATTGCTTGCTTATCAATGGATTTTAATGAAATTTTGAGTTTAAGGGTCCATTTAGAAAACTGTAGTACTGACAAGCATTATGTCTGTGCCCTGATTGATAATGAATCATAATTGAAAACTGGAAAATCAATTATGTCTAATGATTTAAAGCATAAAAAATTACAATTTTCTTTGACCTGGGAGCTTTGAGTTTCTATAGGCATTTCGCACACTCTTCTACGACGCTACTAGCATAGGCTTGGCATTGAACATCCATTTTCACCAAATGGTCCTATTGTACTTTTTTGGTTTGGTATTTTGGTTAACGTTTTTGAGTTGTGAAGTCAAACTACCTATTACAATAATTTGTAATAGTTCTCCTTTCCAAAGCTGTCTTTTGAATACGTTATTTCAGTTTTGCTGAGTTAAGTTCTGTAGGAGAAGATTATTCTCTGGATATAATCAAGAGCGGGTGGCTGTTTTTTTTAGAGAATGAATTGAAGACACAAGTGGATAAAGGTGTCATATAAGATTTTTTCAAAAATTGCTTTTTGCATTAATGTAACCTTAAGGAGTGATTCTTTCATTCAGTGATTACTTTGTTGCAAAAGCAACATAATAGCAAACTAGCCAAAATAACAGATTAAAATGTCAATAAAGTAAAAAGTCGCAAAAATGTTTAAAGTCAATATTCTCCATTCAATATATTTTTACATGACACTTGTGCTTTCAATTATGTCAAGCAGGAAATTAATGGACATTTTCTTCATGAAGCCATTGCAGGAATATCCTTAATTTTCTATGAAATGTAAATACCTAAAATTTTCATGTATTGGTAGATTTGTCAACCCATGACGATTTTTTTTCTTTTTTATATATCGAAGCAGCTGCCCAGACAGAAGCCTGAATAACAATACATCACTTTATATCCTTTTTTTTACGTTCCAATGTCGCTTGTTATCTCATAACATTGTCTCTTCCACAATGTTGTCTGAAACTCGATGAGCTTCTTTGTCCAGTATTAGTTAAAGTTCATTGAATCTGAACCTTTCTTTTAGCACATTTTGGTCTTCTGCCTGCTGAGCGCTTTCAGCAATGCTGAGGATCAGCCCTCGCCCAAGAAGAAGCGTGGTATCATCAGCAGTCTAGGACACTATGGACACGGAATCGGCCATCTTGGGCATGGAGGACTAGCATATTCTGGAGGTTATGGACATGGTGGCGGCCTAGGTCTTGGTACGTTGTAGTTTATGTTTGCCTTTGACCGTCTAACTAATCAACAAATTGGAACAGTTCGTTCCTACCTAGAGGAAATTGTAAATATTTTGAACGAGATTGGAAAAGTTGTTGGCGAGATTAAATTCATTTCATCCAGTCATGTTTTGAATGAGATTGAGAAAGTTATTGGCGGGATGCAATTTGTTTTCATAATTCAAGCTTTATATGCTGCCCAAGTTTTTTCTTAGTATGGTTAAAATGATATTTGCGAGAGAAAAGTACTCTTTAGTTTCTCAGTTTCTTCTTCTTATTGCAGTTTCTTATTATACAAATCATCTCGAACAAGAGACATGAGTGTTAAGTTCAAGGGGAATGAGATTAATTCGCCCACAGTCTGATCAGTCTTTTATTTTGAAAAGGTTCCTGTGCATTTTTAATTTTTGCTTTAACTCGGTACTCATATACTGATTTGAAGGCCATAAGTGGCCCACCTACTATATGTACACAAAGAAAGTCTTTGCGGTACTTTCGGATTCTTTGATCGATATAGTCAAAATCAACGTTCCAGGTTACAGTGTTTCGTTTCTTTGTACTTATGGTAGAAAAAAATGGCAATTGAGCAGTGTATAACTGTGAAGTTTAACTTTAAAATTCCGAATATTCTTGAGTATCCGCAAGTTAGACTCCTTACTGGAATAACTCAGGTGTGTCTAGCAAGGATATCATGTTGGTTTCTCACTGGAATGATAGGCAAATAGAACTTACACCTTAGGATTCTGTGGCTATTTTGGAATGCAATGTCCCACATTACGTCATTATACCGAGGTTCATTCGCCCGTAGTCACGGGAGGCTCGATTAACTTCAAGCTCGATATCAAAGTGAGAATGCATATTGTTGAAAATGTTGAAGAAATTTCCTATGTATGTGCATTCTCATCCTAGAAAAATCAGGCACATCACTCATTACCGACTTAGGTGTCTTGCTTTAACTTTTAACCTCCGTCCAAAAAGAGACTGACGTGTATATCTGTCCGTGGCATAGTAGCTTTAAATCGGCTAAACTGATCTTAATTTTCTTTTTACTTCCACCATAACTTTTGAGATATGGTTTTTAGATGCTAAAGGTTGAGCCAAATTGGTATTAAAACTACACTCTTCAATAATATGTAACACTCGATACTTTATACAAAAGAATACACCTTCCGATTATTTATGAAAAAAATTTCAGTTAAATGGCTGCCGCGGCTGGCTTGGCAGTATTTTGTCCTCTTAATCAAATTTTGTAACACATTTTCGATAGCTTGTGGGTCTAATTCATTAATGGCTCAACGGATATTTTCCTTAAGAACATCAATTGTTTGAGGATCTTTAGTTTAACAGCGGTCCTTAGCAGTACCCCAAAGAAGCGTTCCCCCTTTACCGTCATGCGTTTACTATCTTCATCTTGAAAAAAGTAGGGACCAATAATCCCACCACTCCAAAAGCCACACCAAACAGTTACTCTTTTTGGATGCATTTGTTTGTCTATGACGACATGACGATTTGCATAGCCCCACATTCTACAGTTCTACTTGTTAACGTAACCTCCCAGATGGAAATGAGCTTCGTCCGAAAAGATAATTTGGCGACCAAAATTGACGTCCATTTCCAATTGATTTAGAGCCCACACAGAGAAATGATATCGAAGCGGATGGTCATTTTGTTTCAACTCTTGCACAAGTTGCACCTTGTAAGAAAATAATCCCAGGTCGTTATGCAATATTTTCCGCACAGAAGTGCGACTGATGTCCACTTGTTGTGCTCTGTGACGAGTTGACATTCTTGCCTTTTCACGTATACTCTGGGCAACAGCAGCAATGTTTTCGGCTGTACGTAGGGGTCGAACACGCTCAAACCTTCTGTTATCCACAAGCAGGCCAGTTCTACGAACCTGCCGACCAAATAGTCTTCTCAATTTTCGCAGTTCCTACAACACAGCACTCGCTTTGAAAATAGTTGTTCAATACCTTTGTTCAAGATTAAAATGATCCATTGCTCACAGCGGAAGTTTGACACAATGTATCTGTCAATATGTTGAGCGTAGAAGTGTTACCAACTGTCAAAATAATACCAACCTTAGAAAAAAACAACTGATGGCCCACTCTTTACATGACGCGCACATCTCGAAAAACCATGTCACTCATTTCTGTCGGTCCGACTGTCCGCTCATGCTTTTTTGTTTTTGGAGGTCGATCTAGTGATGACGGAGCTGCAGGTAAAAACACAAAAAAATCGTTCAAACCTGTTAAAAAATTGTGGGCTGGGGAGGGCTGATCTTTGATTTTTGGCGTTAGAATATTGATACGCTTATGGACCCATCAATTCTAGGCATCTTTTAGACATATTTCCCACATCATAGATTCACACTTATATTTGCCTACATGTTATAACAGACTTTCCAGAAGATTGGTACTTTGGCAGGCATGGGAGAAACTATTAGACCACAACGTCGTCGAATGGAATTGGGACCAGAGACTTATTTTATGGACTTGTTTGAATGACTTGATTCATTTTGGTTTTTTTGTTATTCATGTTCGTAGTTAACTTTTTTCTCAGAATGAATAACTTGTACTGAACATAATACTTTATGAAGTGATGACAGCCTGGCGTGAACAGTGCGGCCTCATCCTACATTTCACCATTATTTTTATCTTCCTAAGTCATTAATGTCGTAACTGCACGGTGTCCTCAAGGTTAAGACTTTCTTATATGGGTTTGAGATAATCGAGATATCAGCTTCCAAAAAGCAAGAAATAAGTCAGGTGCAACCCTGACAGCCTCCCGTCCCACAATCCCTTCTTACGTCAAGACGTGTATGACGCATTTGAAAGACCGAGATTGGCACATTCCACTTATCGGTCTGAGCATTTTTAAGATCCTATTGATACTCAGCAAAAGCAGCAACACAGTTGAAGACATGGACAGCCTCAAACGTTGCAAATTTAGAGGTACTCGTGTTTTTGAATCGACCAGCGACAATTTTGAGTAGTTTTTTGAAACATAACATGTGACAGGCCAAAACTTTCAATGAATATTGACTATTTTCTTTAATTTCTTTTTACATTATCGGTGATGTTTTGCCACAAATTAGCTTTGGTATTGCAAACGTAGTTGGCTAGTTCCAACTTTCAGGACACCCTGCATACAAGAGATATCTGCTTAGCCGTTCAACGTGTGGGTCATTAAAACTCTCAATTTAATACTTGTCCTAACCTTCGTCATACACTATAGGTCTAGGAGGAGGTGGAATAGCTCTTGGAGGAGGTCTGGGAGGTGGGCTTGGAGGAGGTCTGGGAGGTGGGCTTGGAGGAGGAACTCATACCCACAGTCACACGATCACCACCGTCAACAGAGCAGTACCAGTGCCAGTCCCACAGCCCTACCCAGTACCCGTTGACAGACCAGTGGCAGTACCAGTGCCACAACCGTATCCAGTGAGCGTACCAAGACCGGTTCCAGTACCAGTTCCTCAACCCTATCCCGTCACTGTGGAACGTAGGGTTCCCGTAGAGGTACCCAGACCTGTGCCCGTACCTCAACCAGTTGCCGTACCCGTACAGGTGTGTATCTTCTGGTCGAGTTCGCCTCACCACTATACATAAATGTACAATAAATTTTTAAGTGTGATTCCGCGACACTACAATGACAGGAGAGAGCGACAGGGATCAACCGAAAAATCTGTTACTGTGAAATACTCAAATCCAGATTTTCTGTGTCATTGCTTCGCCATCATAAGCTTCACGAATGTGTCTCAGGCTTGGTCGCAGTAGCTCTCTTTTGTGTAGCCGAATAACATCTTAAGTAAAACTATACTTCCTTTCATGGAAGATGCCAAATTCAGACAAAATGCGTAGAAAAACTTATATATTCTCAATCGGGTAGTGTTTATAGACATATCGAGACCAGAGACGTTCTCGTTTAACACTGGCAATGAAAATGTATAGTATGTACTGGGTGCGCCATCTATTACTTTTTTTTCACATAAGTTTATGTGTTAACTGTCAAAGATATGCCATTTGTAGTCATTGATTCGTTTACAACACCACAACGCATTTTGGTTATCCAAACTTATTACGAAAATGGTCGAAATATAAAAAATACTTTACGCAAACTTCTCACTAGTTTTGGTCGACATGGACGCCCTACAGAGCTTGGAATTCGTTGTATTGTTAATCGTTTTGAGGAAACTGGTTCAGCTGAAGGTCGCAGACCATATCAACATGCTCGTCCAGCTCGTACTCGCGAAACCATAACCGCAGTGAGTGAAAGTGTGCGAGAAGATCCAACCACCTCGACTAGGCTCCGTCCGCAACAATTGGGAATTAGTGAGACCACTTTACGCATTGATTTACACCTCCATCCGTAAAAAATCTAACTAAGACAAGAATTGAAGCCGGCAAAGCATCAACAGCGGCGTGTTTTTGTTAATTGGATGCTGGAAAGAGAAGACGGGTTTTTGGTCAGTGCTCTTTTCTGATGAGGCTCATTTTCACCTCCGAGTACGTAAATAAGAAAAATTGCCATTCTGAGGGGCTGCAAAATCCACACCAATATCATGAACATACTGAAAAAGTGACTGTTTGGTGCGGATTATGGGCTGGTGGCATCGTTGGATCAATCTTGTTTGAAGATGCCGAAGAAGAAGGGCCATTACCATCAACGGGGAACATTATCGGCACGCTAACAGACTTTTTGTAGCCACAATTAGATCGTGCTGGTGCCGACGATCTTTGGTTTCATCAAGACGGAGCAACGGCTCACATATCTAGCAAACAATCGCCTTATTGCACACGAAATTTCAAGACCGCATAATTTCACGAAATTCAGATGTCAGTTGGCCCCCGAGATCGTACGATTTAACACCTCTTGAAGAAATATTCTTTGGGGATTTTTGAATGGAAAAGTGTATGCGAATGGTCCCCGGACAATTCAAGACCTAAAGTGCAATATTCGGACTGAAATTGCGGCCATAGACCCGATCATTTTTGGAAAAGTTATTGAAAATTTGGATGTTCGGATGTTGACCTGTAAACGAAGCCGCGGTGGTCACATGACTGATGTTATTTTTCATACATAAATGGCATACACCAACCTTCATTTATCAATAAAAAAATTCGATTTCACCTCGTAAAAAGCGTGCTGATTTTTCAAATAGAAAAAAAAAGTAATAGATGACGCACCCTATACAAAGCGAACAATTTAAAAAGTGCCTAAGGGCCGGTTTATACAACATATCTATAGTCACAGTCGCAGTTTCAAATTCCACACTCGCCACTGAGATATCGGAAATGATAAGAGATACGAAGTCGTTCAAAGTTTCGCAAATCCGAGTATATCCGGAGATAGACGAAAGAAGCCGAATTTTCCCAAAATTGCGTTTATTTCTCCCAAGCATTACTCCAGATGGGATTTCAAAGCAAAAACATTTACATCTAAGCTTACGTTTGTAACCTCACTTATTCGATTTTATACATTGTTTTTGTCACTGTATATACAGGGTGTTTCAAACTCGATCCTCATCATTTTAACCTCGGTAACAGATATGATGTCGCTTGAATGGGGAAAAAGCTGCGTATTAAGGCAACTAACATAATGCTGTAAAGAACGTTTCGAAATTCAATGTACATGTAAATTTTATCGACGGTAATAACAATAATAAACATAAACCAGCAGCAGTATATCATATCAGATATTCACAATGTTATCCGTTGTTTTGTAGGCAAAACCTGACTTCTCTGTACATTGTTCAACGCTCAGTTTATTACGATTTTGGGATAAATCTGGAATACGAAACAAATGATTTTATGACAATTTTAAAGCCTACCTAGACACTTCTGTTTTTTTTAATAACTAATGTCAACGACCTTTTATGAATTATATAAATACTCAACTTTACACCCATCAAAGCCACTTTGTATTCCACCTTATTGTGCATTTTATTGTGAAATCCCATTACAAATGAAGTCAGCAAGAAATCAAAACTGTTTTGGGGCATATCAGGTGTTTTCCGTCTCTCTTTGGAATCCCTTTGTATTTCGAAACGTTCCAAGCGACCTTTTTGTGAATTACATTGAAACATCCTGTATAGTATACATTGTATTCGTATTGTTTATATGGATTGTATTCATTTTAAACGCGTAAACGCTCAGCACTCACTCTTTGGTTGGTTACAGGTTCCGAGACCGGTAGCCGTACCAGTGCCACAACCATACGCTGTTCCAGTCGACAGGCCTGTCCCAGTTGCAGTGGCTGCTGGACCAGCCATTGGAGGAGGAGGTCTGGGGGGTATCGGAGGGTTTGGAGGAGTTGCAGTAGGAGGAATCGGAGGAGGTCATGGAGGATTCGGACCTGGCATTGGTATTGGACATGGTTTTGGTCTTGGACATGGCATCAGTCTTGGACATGGGTTCGACCTAGGACATCACAAGAAATTTTTGTAACCATCTTAGTAGGATCTGTGTATATTGTGTATATTGTATGTGATAAATAAAGTATATTTTTAATAGACATGGACTTTTATCTATTACTTGTAATATATACAGGGTGTCCCAGAAGTCGACGTCAAGCCGAAACCGCGTGATAGGCAAAGTCATAACAGCTATCGGAAAAATATTTAAAAAAATTTATGTAGGTGTTTTGAAAATTATAGGTCTTTGAAAAAAATATAGAAATTTCACACCCTACGGCAGTCTGTCAACTCCTGTTGCTACAAATATTAACTTTTTTGGATTTTATTTTTACAATGTAATGTTGAATAATGCATCTTCAAACTGGTGTCTCAACCTTACTGCCAACTTTTCTCGTTCAGGAGAAATTGCCACTTATTTCCCAACCAAGTATTCCAAAGTAAAACTTTGCTCAACTTTAACTGGCTGTACTGAAAAAAAATGTACTACGAGAGTTTGGCAAGTAACCTTAAAAGTTGACGCATTTAATAAGGATTCCAAGATGATATAACACTTACAAGATTACTCGTTAACTTATGCACAATTTTTATTTAAAGAAAAACTGATGAAAATTTTTCAACATTTCCTAATTAAACAGCGATTATGAAAACGCACAAGGACCCTTAAGGATAACTGTTTGCACAACAGTGGGCGTCAAAATGCTGCTGATGATGATTTACCTTTACAGCAAATGCTCAAACTGTTTTCCTTCAGCCGCAATACACGCTCGACATCTTCTTAAAAAAGATCGGGTTATTAAACGAGCGAATCCACGGTTATTAACAAACTCTGCTGCTTCCAATAGTCTTTGCCGTAGCTCAGCTACATTTTGAATCGGCCTGAAATACACTTTTTTTTTACAGTTCCCCAGTAAAAAAAATCTAACGGATTCAAATCTGGTGACTGGGCTGGCCACGGTATTGTACCAGACCGCCCTCTCCATCTGCCTGGAAAGTTTTGATCGAGATACTCTCTCACTGAGAGTGCATAGTGCGCTGGGCAGCCATCATGCTGAAACCACATGTCCCTGTAAATACTCAGTGGCACGTCCTCCAATAAATTTTCTAAATGATTTTGCAAAAAAACTAAATAAAACTCAGCAGTCAAAGTCTCTGGGAACTCAAACCGACCGATTATTTTACCATTTAAAATTCCTGTCCAATGGTTTATCTTGAAGGGATATTGAGATTTATCTTTTCTCATCAAATGTGGGTTTGCTACGTGCCACTCGTGTAAGTTATGCAGGTTCATGTACCAATCTTTCTTAAATGTGGTCTCATCTGACCATAATATTTTTTCAAAGAACCGTGGATCTTCCCTGTGTCTGTCTAACATTGTGCGACAAAAAGCAACTCGGGGCTCATAATCCCGGGGCAGAAGAGCTTGAACACGCTGTACGTGGTATGGATGGAGCACGTTTTCTTGCAAGATTCTATGGGCTGTACTTTTGGCACACCTGTTTTTAGTTCTATTGCACGCACTGAAGTACTCGGGTCTTCTTCGACAGCTCCTAGCACCACGTCTTCGTAAGGAAGGAAAGATCTTCCCTCACCGTGTGATTGGTTTGGTAGTTGGCCCTCTAAGCGGTGCACATTTGTGAACACTCGATGATCTGGATGACGAGCTGCATTCGGGTACCTCTCACAGTAAAGTCTCGCTGCAACACTAGCGTTGCATCTGCATTCCCCATAAATGAGGTGCATGTTAGCATATTCTTGTACGGTGTACACGGACATAGCGGCACTGCACAATCACACTATCAAAGATAGTCTAAGGAAAGCAAATGTTGTTTTGAAGAGCAATTAAACAGTCCAAATCCAAATCACAAGCGATCAACAGTCCAGTTCACGAATCCAAAATTAGTAACAGTACGAAATCAACAAGCACGACCATGTAAAGATGCGCAGTAAACGAAGGAGTACTGATCGGTATCAAAGTGTGTAATAGCAAGTAAGTGATGTGCTTCATCCATACCACATGCAGCGTGTTCAACCTCTCCTGCCCCGGGATTATGAGCCCCGAGTTGCTTTTTGTCGCACAATGTTAGAAAGACACAGGAAAGATCTATAGTTCTTTGAAAAAATTTTATGGTCGGATGAGACCACATTTAAGAAAGATGGGTACATGAACCTGCATAACTTACACGAGTGGCACGTAGCAAACTCACATTTGATGAGAGAAGATAAATTTCAATATCGCTTCAAGATAAACCATTGGACAGGAATTTTAAATGGTAAAATAATCGGTCCGTTTGAGTTCCCAGAGACTGACTGCTGAAGTTTATTTGGATTTTTTGAAAAATCATGTACAAAATTTATTGGTGGACGTGCCACTGAGTATTTACACGGACATGTGGTTTCAGCATGATGGCTGCCCAGCGCACTATGCACCCTCAGTGAGAGAGTATCTCGATCAAAACTTTCCAGGCAGATAGATAAGGCGGTCTGGTACAATACCGTGGCCAGCCCGGTCACCAGATTTGAATCCGTTAGATTTTTTTTACTGGGAAACTGTAAAAGAAAAAGTGTATTTCAAGCCGATTCAAAATGTAGCTGAGCTACGGCAAAGACTATTGGAAGCAGCTGAGTTTGTTAATAACCGTGGATTCGCTCGTTTAATAAACCGATCTTTTTTCAGAAGATGTCGAGCGTGTATTGCGGCTGAAGGAAAACAGTTTGAGCATTTGCTGTAAAGGTAAATCATCATCAGCAGCATTTTGACGCCCACTGTTGTGCAAAAAGTTATCCTTAAGGGTCCTTGTGCGTTTTCATAATCGCTGTTTAATTAGGAAATTTTGAAAAACTTTAATCAGTTTTTTTTCAAATAAGTTAAGGAGTAATCTTCTAAGTGTTATACCATTTTGGAATCCTTATTAAATGCGCCAACTTTTAAGGTTACTTGCCAAACTCTCGTGGTACATTTTTTTCCAGTACAGCCAGTTAAAGTTGAGCAAAGTTTTACTTTGGAATACTTGGTTGGGAAATAAGTGGCAATTAATCCTGAACGAGAAAAGTTGGCAGTAAGGTTGAGACACCAGTTTGAAGATGCATTATTCATCATTACATTGTAAAAATAAAATCCAAAAAAAGTTAATATTTGTAGTAACAGGAGTTGACAGACTGCCGAGGGTGTAAAATTTCTATATCTTTTTCAATGACATATAATTTTCAAAACACATACATAAAATTTTCTTAAATATTTTTCTGATAGCTGTTATGACTTTGCCTATCACCCGGTTTCGGCTTGACGTCGACTTCTGGGACACCCTGTATACTGTTAGTAACTATACTGTTGTTTCCATCATTAAATAATATGGTAAACAGTCCAAATCCAAATCACAAGCGATCAACAGTCAAGTTCACGAATCCAAAATTAGTAACAGTACGAAATCAACAAGCACGACCATGTAAAGATGCGCAGTAAACGAAGGAGTACTGATCGATATCAAAGTGTGCAATAGCAAGTAAGTGATGTGCTTCATCCATACCACATGCAGCGTGTTCAACCTCTCCTGCCCCGGGATTATGAGCCCCGAGTTGCTTTTTGTCGCACAATGTTAGAAAGACACAGGAAAGATCTATAGGTTGAGACACCAGTTTGAAGATGCATTATTCATCATTACATTGTAAAAATAAAATCCAAAAAAAGTTAATATTTGTAGTAACAGGAGTTGACAGACTGCCGAGGGTGTAAAATTTCTATATCTTTTTCAATGACCTATAATTTTCAAAACACATACATAAAATTTTTTTAAATATTTTTCTGATAGCTGTTATGACTTTGCCTATCACCTGGTTTCGGCTTGACGTCGACTTCTGAGACACCCTGTATATAAATATAAAACATCAAAGAATCACTAAGAAGTGTCCATGAGGTAAACAAAGTTTATTAGCCTGAAGCTTGGGGATTCTGATTGATCCCAAAGGGATGAATGTTACTTCAACGATACTTCAGACAACAAATTCACCGTAGGAAGTTCCAAATTTCCATTTGCGGCTATCCTAGAATTTCTATTGTGTACAAAACATACTTTAAATAGAATGCATTTGCTGTCAATTTTTGTATTAAATTTCTGCCTTGGAGTTTTATCTTAGCTAAGAGGATGAATAATGAGACTATGTAATCAGTTTAGGTACTAGTTTCAAGCTGGTTAGGGCTCCGTATTCTCGATATTCTAAAAAGGGTGCGACATAATATGGGAAGGAGACTTGAGTCTGCAGTGCCAACACAGTCCTGTTGTCCTCGTTTAGATTACATCAAGCTGCTCCCAGATATGTGAATCAGTATTTCTGGCTATTTGCTATTTGGACTTTGAACAGGCTACTCATAGCTTTCATTTTGTTCCCACGCTACACTGGCGAGGAAGTATTGTGAAATGAGATGTGTTTTTTTGCATTTTATATAATAATAAAAATAGCATAGCATAGCATAAACTATTCTACCACTTAATCTGTAAAATGTCCATCCACAAAATAAACAATAAGTAAAACATATATACCACTAATAATGTAAACGTTTCAACATAAAAATGAATTAATCGAGTAAAATAAATCGAGATTGGATAAAAGTATAAGATTATACATACATATAGAATGATGCATATATTATAAGCAGAGGTAAGAGATATATCTATATCAATGATTGCTCGAAAATGAATTTTTTTAAATACCTTTTGAGATTTTCGAAATTTAAAGCTTTAGTATCAGATTGTAAAGCATTGTACATGGTAGTAGCATTATAAGTAAAACATTTAGTTAAAAATGAAGTTCTGTGAGGAGCCATTGTTATTGTATCAATAAGGTGAATATCTGCGTAGAGCCACGAAATTTTAACTTATATTTCAAAAATGGGGGAATTGCGCTAAGTAAAAGCTTATGTAACATAGTAAATGAAATTTAAATAAACTAGAAATAGATAAACATTCCAATTTTATGAACGAGGAGGTAAGGTCATATTTTTACAAGTTACATATATTAATCTGCAACATGAATTTTTGTACGTATCACATGTATCACGAAAAATCATGTCGCTTACTTCCGTCTGTCTGTTTGTCTTTCTCTACC